TTCATCCTCTGGGTGATACTTTTAAAAAGTAGAAAAAGAGTTTTTCTATAAATGGTTCAGGCACAGAGGCAGGCCTGCTTGGTCAGCCAACACTTGCCACTTAATTAAAAAAAAAAAAAAAAGAGTAAAAACCCAACTGATGCCAGAGGGTTACTGTAAAGAGCACAAAATCACACTATATGACAAGCAGGTGATCTTATTATACTCATTCAGCCTTGGCACAAAGCAGGGACTTTCAAAGCTCTTATAAGAACAAAGAACGTGACCAACAGATCTGCCTGTGCAGAAGGAAAAACAATTTTAGGTTAAAAAATACTAATCATAAATAAAAGCAAAAGTAAAACAAATGCAGAAAAATACTTGCTACAGGCATAAAATTTGCTTTCAACAAGACAAGCGTCTCAAAGGACAAACTGAACACAACACGAAGAAATCACTGAAAATTGGCCAACAAATTCACAAAGAGATGCTCAACCTCCCCAGCAGTCATGCAATTTAGATTTAAAATTCTGTAGCATTTTCACCCCCCAGATTGACAAATTTAGGGGAAAAAATGTGTTGGTAAACGCAGGAGGAGTATGGGTCCTCTCAGAGCCCGTCATAGTGTTAAGAACGGTCTTTCGACAACATGTCATCAAAAGCCTTCCAAATGTTCAGACCCTCTGGGCCAGCTACTCTACTCTCAGATTTATTTTGAGGAAATGATCAAAGATGTTCCCAAATGTATGGAGATATTCACTACATTATTCATATAAAAAATGGCTCATTAATGAGGGGGCAGAGAAATTATGACATTTAAAAAAATGAAAGTACATTGAAAGGAAAAATATCTCCCTTCATTAAAAAAAAAACAAAAACCAAACACTGTAAGATGTGGACTAGTGAAAGGAATTCCCCGTGGGGAGGAGAGAGGGGCCAGCCTGGGCTCTTCACACCGCCTCCCTGCCTCCGGGTGCTCCCGCCCCCAAGCAGGCCTGGCTCATGGGCGTCTGGGCCACCCACCCTGGGGGTGCTGCCAGAGGGGCTGAGGCATACTTTCTGGGAATTTTAAGGGAGTCTAAGATTTGGGAATTTGTGATTTTTTTTAAAAGATTTTATTTATTTGAGAGAGCACGAGAGAGAGAGAGAGAGAGAGAGCATGAGCCGGGGTAAGGGGCAGAAGTGAGGAGAGAAGCAGACTCTCCCACTGAGCAGGGAGCCCAACGTCAGGCTCAATTCCAGGACCCTGGGATCCTGACCTGAGCCGAAGGCAGATACTTCACCGACTGAGCCACCCAGGCGCCCAGGACTTTGTGAGTTAGAGTACTTTAGAAATGGAAACTACAACTGAAGGAAACACAAACGCTAAATTTTGGCATATTTAAAGATCAAGCCTACCAATTTTCTCTTCTTCCCCATCAATATCCTCTTTGCTGGTTCCCTTGGTGACAGATTTAAGGTTCTCAAACTTGAGATTGGGGTTTTAAGGTTTTGTCATCTTCAACAGTATTGCATAATTTATAATTTGTTATGCACAATTTGGTGGGAGGCAGCTCCTAGAACCTCTTCCCGAACCTTCTCCCCGTGAATGCTCTTGCCCAATCAGGAGAGTACAGAAGTCCAATTCAAAGTCTCGCCTTCAGCTTGCAAGGTCAATTCCAAACATTTCCTCTAGGTGCCCTTCACACAGCCCTGGAGAAACTGGCAACTTTCCATAGCTCTCTACACATAAGTCCCACAGGCTTGCGTCCCTCAGTTCTAATCTCCACTGAAACGTAATGTGACTTAGGTGTGCGCGCGGGGCGGGGGAGGGATGGAATAAATGAACAGCAGGCGTTAATTAAGCACCCCCCCCACAAACGTACACATCACACAGATACACCACACACACACCCACATACATGCGCCCACTCTCCTCCCCCACAACTGAGCCTCCTACAGAGTTCCTTCAGAAGAGGAAAGATGTCTTAATATAAAGGAATACAGGGGATTTTAAATACACTATGTAAATGCAAATATTTTTGTAAAGTGCCCCACTGTCATTTCCATTTCCCTTTTCAGGAGTTTACAAGTGTTTCAGCTGTAGCTACTTTAACTATAGACTCCTTGCTAAGTAAATCCCTTTGTTATGAATGGATTCTAAACCCCCAGGAAGATTAATGACAGAATCACCTGAACGCCCCAAAACACCAGTGGACCTCTAAGGACGACACCGAAGCGATAAAACAGTGGATATTTTCCCCTCCCATCAGAACAGATTCTTCAAAGAATCCTAGATGATCAAGTGATCGGGGAAATGCCATTCGAACACAGCCACTCACCGCGGCCACGCACAAGCCAGGGGACCCACAAATCCCGCCGCCATGGCTTCTCTCCCAGCTGACAAGCCACGCTGAGCTGGCAGCCCGCGGGCCCCGGCAGCTCCTGCACGCCCCCCCCCACCCCCGTCGGATGTGGCATGGTGAGTGCTGGGCTCACATGCTGCTGGGGAACGGGGGCTACCCAACACCAGAGCTGCACAGAGTCCCCCCGGGGCCCCACCTTGCTGCACCGGCGAGTAGGCATTGGTCAGGAAGCGGAAGTGCCCTTTGTTGTACCAGCAGATCAGAGACATGTTCCCCTTCATCTTGATGCGGTGCTGGCCCCGGGCTGGGGGGGTGGCCGGGTTCGTCAGCATGGACAGGGGCAGGCCGGTGCAGTCACTCTTCCTGGAGCTGAGCAGGCCGCAGCAGTAAATGTCTGTGGGGAGAGGGACACAAATCCGCGTCCACATGGTCACGGACAACCCGCCAGCACGAAGGACGGGACTGCCCCGTTCTGAGGCTGATGCTTGGGAGACGGGCCCCCTAGAAGTTCCCGTAGAGGAGACTGCTACAGTTCGGGGACTTCTATCCCAAAGGTGCTGTCTCTCCCAGGACTTCTGTAAGTACCTTTAAGATGACACGCGAGACCATCACATGAGCAGTGAATTGGCCAGTACCAACAGAAGTCTCGTCGTTAGAGCGCTCACAGTGCTGAGCATGTGCACCTATCATCCCATCTGCTTCTATAAACTTCTGGAAACTTCTACACTCAGGTTATCCTACCCACATTACAGAAGAAGAACTACAGCTCCAAGAGGCCCCCAGGCTCCCAGCTAGGAGGGCAAAGGCAGGGATTCAGCACAGGTCTGTCTGCTGTCCAAGCCCCTGACCACAGTTATGACCCCCTAACACTCTGGCCGAGACTGGACCAGCCAGGGGCCCCGCCCTGTGCTTGTGTGCACAGTACCCAGAGGCAGCGTGTGGGATGGAGCCCCCGTTCCCTTGGAGGTAAGTTAAATGCAGAGGAAAGAATCACCAAGCAATGTGTGCCAGGCCAGCATCCTGCCTCTCAACATAAAGCCTCTCGAGGGAGGGGTGACAGTGTGGGCTTTAATGCACAGAAGGTTCCATGGGGGCAGGCAGGATTGTGAGCACAGGCCAGTGTGAACAAGGAGACCTTGCTAAACTCCGCCCTGGGCTCAAGGCCTTTCCTGGCCCTCCCCACGCACAGGCCTGCCCCACTGAGTGGGCCACGGGGAGCCTGCTTCTCCCTGCAGCCAGCTCCAGTCTGGATGCCTGCAGGGGGCGTGAAGTGGCCTTTTTGACTGAAGTCACTGGGGACGGTCTCATCCCCGGGTCTTCAGTGAAAGACTGAAGTTCACTGAAGACTGATACCCTATCGTCAGTAACCTGAAACATTCTGTAACCCGTGTGCATACTTCCTTCAGCTCTGCATCTGCACCCCAAGGCAGTTCCAGGTACCCCAGGGCTTCATGGCCACGCACCCACCCCGGGATCGGACCAGGCGGGCAGGGATGGCAGCCCAGATTCTCACCACACCCTCATTCTTCCCGTGGCTGGTAACACACACGAGGGCCAATTTTCTCCACCTTGACTTCCACGGCCCCTCTTCACATAGTCTGAGCTCTCCACCCTGAGTTCTCCCCACCGGTAAACCCTGAGCTCTGTCGGGGACTGGACCTCGCAGAGGAGTAAAACCCAGCAGGGCCAGCAGAGCACCAAGTCCAGGGGCTGCTTCATCCTTGCCGTGGTGGAGGTAAAGGTCAGAAGGTGTTGGCTCCCCCCCCATGACTCGAGAGGATTTTAAGGCCAGATGTCTGATCCGTTGCTAAGCAATAGGTCTGCAATTCCAGTGGCTGCCATAGCAGAGCAGAGGCTTTTTATGTTTCTCCCAAGTGGACTAGATATAAATCCCCCAAAAATTGGAAAAGCAAAGGATAAGCAGTCTGCTCTCGGGCTCCCTGACTCAGTCCAGAGCTTTTTCTCCAGCCCCCATTTCTGCCAGAGCCACGAAGGCTTCCCAATCTTTCAACCGATGAACAAAGCATCTCAGCACCAAGGATACTAAGAATTTTGAGGCCCACTGCACTGCAGCCTGTATTAATCTACATAATTCTCTGTGACGTCCTTGTCAGCCGGAGGGCCCACATTATAGGTGGGGGCTGAGTCCAGACTTCCAGGCCTTCGTAGGAGCGGCATCTAGGCGCTACAGAGCAAATATGTGTGTTCCCCCCAAATTCCTCCGCTGAAAGCCTCATGCCCCAGGGGAGGCTGTTAGGAGGCGGGCCTCTGGGAGGGGCCTGGGTCATGAGGGTGGAGCCCTCGTGAATGGGAGGAGTGCCCTCAAGAAAAGGGACCCCAGAGAGCTTCCTGTCGCTTCCATCACGTCATGGGAGGTCTGCAACCTGGAAGACGCCCTTCTAGCACTGGCGCCCTGATCTTGGACTTCTGGCCTCTAGAACTGAGAGGAATAAATACCTGCTGTTTATAAGCCGCCCAATATGAGGTACTTTGTGAGAGCAGCCCGAATGGACTAAGACACCGGGAGAAGCCCTGGAATGGCCCCGGGCTTAAAAGGAAGGACACAAAGGTGCCCCGGGCAGAGCGTAAGGCCGTGGCAGGCGTGCCTTCAGATCTCTGGTGCCCGGCAGGGTCCAGGTACGTGGCAGGCACAGCAGGGGCTGAAACTGCTGTGTTCCCTCCTGGCCGTAGTGGTCTATGAGCCATGCTGGTTACTATGCACCTGCACCCCCCAGGCCTTCCCACCACTTCTCCAGGGGGGCAGCGGCCACGCTGGGACCGGCTCGCCACACAACAAACCTTGCTTTTCCAGCTCCTCAAACAAGGTCAGGCTGGTGATGCTGGGCCCCGTGAAGATGATGTAGTTCTTGCCCGCTGCGTTCCGGCACAGGCTTCGGGCCACCATGCTGTGCAGCTGGGGCTTATTCTTCAGTGCGTCCAGCCCATCGGGGCCCCCGCCTTCCTTCAGGTGGACGTAAATCTTGAACAGAAACACACAGGAGTCCGTGAGCTCATGGACTGTCAGGCTGGGGCCCAAAGCTTCGGGAAGTACAGGCTGCCCTCACTGGGCCAAAAATGGGTGGGAAAGCCACCTCTCCCTTGAGCCACTGGTTCGGCAGCCCCTACCACCCCATCACCTCCTCAGCCCGCAGAGGCCCCAGGTCACTCCCAAGGCCACCCTGCAGCCTAGGCAGCTGGTGGCTCCGGCCAGGACTTCAAGGTTTGGACATGTCAAGGTAGAGAAGAAAAGGGTCAAACTATTACAAGTAATGAATCTGGCAGCTGAGGTCAGTGCAAACACACCCCCCAGTTCGGAAGCATGGAAGGGACTTCAGTTTACAATAAATAAAAGTTTAAGACTACCTTACCTGTAGGGATAAACCGGTCCATGTACTTTCCATTTGAATACAGTTGTTTTTTTGGGGGGGGGGAGAGGGAGGAGCAGAGGGAAAGGGAGAGAGAGAATCTTAACCAGGCTCCACGCTCAGCACAGAGCCTCACGGGGCTCAGTCCCACGATCCTGAGATCATGACCTGAGCCAAAACCAAGAGTCAGGTGCTTAACCGACTGAGCCACCCAGGCACCCCTGAATACAGCTTTTTAATTCACAAAGTCCATCTGTATTTACTGTTGCCCTTATTCCTTACAGAAGCCACCACACGGGCAGAAGAGGAGTCAGGATCAGGGATTAAAAACTCACCCGAGGTGCTAAGGACCAGCAAAGAGGACGTGCTGGGATTAGCAAGCCATGTTTACACTCTTTGTCCCATGAACATCTTCGAGGAACATCACCAAAGGGGAAATCAACAGGAAATGGGAATGGATTCAAGAGTACGGTCCTCCCAATGACTGACCGAGTCATGAAGAATTTATCATATGGGTACCAACTACTGTTCTCCTTAGGGAGAAGAGTTCTTCTTGTGGAATGTTCTAGATGCCTTTACTAGCAGCACTTCACGAGCTAACGGTGCTCGCCTGTGCCTGTCAGGGGCCCCGGGGACAACAGAACTGCCCAGTGCAGGCCTGTCAGGGGCCCCGGGGACAAGAGAACTGCCCAGTGCAGGCCTGTCCATGCAGACAGCCCATGATGCTCTGCTGTGAAAAACCAACATGGCCCCAGGGAGGACCCAGGCCTGTCCACAATACCCGTCCTTGGTCAGATGACTTGGATCATGTGCAAAATACAGGATCTGATGTTCCTGAGCCAGATGAAGAGCAGGTGAATTTAAGTGTAATTCCAAAAGAAGCTCATCTTCTGAGGGCTGATCCTGTCCCAAACACTCCCCTGAGATGTCCTCAGGGAGGACCCTACTTTCTTGCAGCCTCGCAGGCAATGGCTTGATGATACAGAACACCTTTTTAGGTAAGACTCTGACATTTCATTTTGGGATCTCTATGCCTTTTACTACCTCGATTCCCAGAAGAAATTTCTTTGACAGAGAAGCAAACACAGGGATAGAGAAGCCAAGCTCTGCCTCTGTCACACGTCACCCGTGATTCTGGCTGAGCCAGGACATTTCTCAGAACCGGTCTTCCCTCCTTCAGCAAGGCCCAATTCTTCTGGCTACTACCATGAGTTTCTGCACCTACTGCTCGGATTCATACCGACCTCTCCCAGATAGCCTACCTGAAACCCCACCGTACCCACACTGGGCGCTGTATATCCTGAAATCCACCTTAGGGACAGTTAGTTTTGTCCTACGTGTCATTCCAAAGGAAATCCTCCATCCAAACCCCAGGCTCTCACTAGGGAGTGGGATGTGTGTTGTGGGAACGCCTCAGGCCCAACCCTGATGACACCACACGTGGTTTCCAAAGGCTTCCCTGAGGCATGGGGGCAGTCACTGGCTTACTCAGCCCAACGCAGGCAAAGTTTAACAGGACTACGCGTAAAATCCTGCAACCAAGTTCAAAAAGCAACTGCATCGAGTACAGGATGCAAAAAGAGTGACTGAGCAAGAACAGTTTTAGAAAACAAACACGAAAGCCTTTGGAGATGGTCACTGGACACCATGACCAGCCAAGTTAACGGGATCTTGGTTTGTTAATAACATGGGTGCTGACCACCTTACTCTTCCTGGCCCAATCATAATCAGTTCTTCTAGATGCCACTTTTTACAAGGTGTTAGGAGAGGGGGTGGTGGGCTGGTGGCTCACTCTGCTGGGCAGCCATCACAAAGTACCACAGACCGGGCAGCTTCAACAACAGAAATGCACTTTCTCCCAGTTCTGGAGGCCGGAAGTTTGAGTTCAAGGTGCTGGCAGAAGCCTCTCTCCTTGGCTTGTAGATGGTCATCTTCTCCTCCATGTCCTCACATGGTCGTCCCTCTGGGTCCTCATCTCCTCTTCTTGGAAGGACACCAGTCACATCAAATTAGGGCCCACCCCAATGACATCTTTTTAACGTTAATTAGTTACCTCTTTCAAGGCCCTATCTCCTAAATATAGTTACATTCCGCAGGACTGGGGGTGAGGACTAAAACACATGAATTTGAGGGACACAATCTGGCCCATAACAGAGGGGATGACGCTAAACTTGAAGGAGCACAGGAGTCCAAGAACCTCTTCTTTTGGCCAGAGAGCTGTCTTGTAAAATGACGATTAAGATCTTTCTAAGGCAGATCCCAGGTGACGACATAAAAATGGCTAGAAAACACTCTGTTCAAGCATCAGAGCCCCCGAACGGGTGGCTCAGAGAGGCTCCAGGCCAGGCCCAGTGGGAGGTTTGCACAGCTAACCGGGGCTGGCCTTGACAGCTGCCGAGGTCCCTCCCAACACTGAGATTTTCAGATTTCCTTCACACCTTTAGCGTTTAGCTGGGTCTGAGGTTCAGATGCAGGGAAACATGTCGGGGTCAGAGAGAACAGAGCCACACATGCACCAACCTCAGGTCCCCCAACAAAGCTGCATAGCAGACAAGGCCCTCCCCTCATACACGTGCAGCCCTTCATTTGTGACAGGATGAAAGACTGGCACAAGCAGGCTGAATCCTATGTCAGAACAACACTGCCCTGCTTGAGTCCTGACAGCAAAGAAAATACTGATTATCTCCTGGGTCTTATAATAACCTAGAGAGGATCATGTCTTCCTGATAGTTTCTTGCCGGGAGCTGTCCCAGCTGGGGCACTGGGTGAGCCAGAGACTCATCTCTGCATTTGCAGCACTAAAATAAGTCCTTTGGGGGCGCCTGGGTGGCTCAGTCAGTTAAGTGTCAGCCTTCAGCTCAGGTCATGATCCCGGGGTCCTGGGATCGAGCCCCGCATCGGGCTCCCTGCTCAGTGGGGAGCCTGCTTTTCCTTCTGCACCCTGCTTGTGTTCTCTGTCAAATAAATAAAATAAAATCTTAAAAAAAAAATAAAGTCCTTTGGAAGGCGGATCATCCGGGTGCCTGGCTGACAGGCTTCAAAAGCATGGTGTACCTTCAAAATGTCATCTCTTTGATTCCCAGACTAGGTTCAGTTGCTCAGACTGGTGTGCTCCCCCTTGCTCTTTGCATTCCGGAAGCGTGCACATCCTCGGGGTGGGGCGTGGGGTGGCACGCAGGGGCTGCCCGGCCCTGCCACGGTCCTGCCGGGGTGACGCTCGGAATGGAACCAGAGGGCCTAACCAGGGAACCGAGGACCTCTCACACGCGCTCGAGGAACTGGCCACTTCTACTCATCGCAAGACAAGTAGGGAAGCACGATGCAAGTCGCTGAAAGCGAGGGAGGTACTTCCCAGCTCAGCCAAGGCAGAGGCGGCCAAAGCATCACCAGCAATCTGCAACCCTTCCCAGTAACCAAAGCTGGAAGCCATCCATCCACTGAGATCACCTCAAAAAGCAGCTTCCCCACTTCCAGGGCTGAGGGTAAGGTGACGCGTGCCACCATCGGTACAAACGCCCACTTCTCTAGAACCGAGGGGGTGTCACGGCTGTGTTGTGACTTTCACGGGCCCTTCTGCTTCCGTGGGAACTCTCTTCCTCCATACCAAAACTACATTTTACAACCGCACTGGCGTAAAGACAAGTACATTAATAGGATATGTTAAAGCACCTTCTTCAACTTGAAAAGTGGGTTTTTTTCCCTTCTGCTTTAAGGGAAACAGAAATGCTTTCACGTTTTCATTTGCCCTGAAAGCATTAGGGGAGTAACTAGGAGAAGGCGTGTGCGTACCAAGGACAGCAGTCTTTTGAGTGTCTTAGAGTCCTGCCTACTACCCACATATTGCTTCAAATGCAGCATTTCTATGGACCCGAAGAACTCCAGCACCATTGCTGATAGATGGAGTGCTGCTCCATCTTATTAAAGCCAGCAGAGTGCTGACGATGTCAGCTGTAGTCCCCGGAAAACAGATGGATTTCAATGTACCATGTATGTGGACCAACAGCAGCACCATCTTCCCTACACCCGAACCCCCCATATTGGTGAGAGACCACTCGTCACTGCTGGGAATGGTCAGCTGGTACAATCCTTTCTGTAGAGAAATTCTGTAGTATGAATGAAAAGCCTTAAACACACTTAGGCTATTTCACTGATGAGTTCCACTTTCAGGGATTAAATCGAAGGTAACAATCAGAAATGCACCCAAGACCATATACATACATACATACATACATACATACATATATACATACACACAGACACACACACACACACATATGAGAGACCATGTTTCTCTGAGATTTTTTATAATGGCAAAAAAATGAGCAACAACCTGGGGTGTCTGGGTGGTTCAGTTAAGCATCTGACTCTTGATTTTGGCTTAGGTCATGATCTCAGGATCGTGAGACCAAGCCCTGCGTTGGGCTCTTCGCTTAGTGGAGTCTGCTTCTCTCCTTCTCCCTCTGCCCCTCCCTGTGCTCTCTCTCTCTCAAATAAATAAATCTTTAAAAAAATTAGCAACGACCTAATTACCTCACATGAAAAGGAGGCTGATTAAAATTATCATATGCAGGTATAATGGAATACAGTGCAATTTTTTAGAAATCACGATCTAGAA